CCAAATTTTCTCATGGAAAAAAAAATCTCTTAACTAATGCTGTAAAATATACATAAGAGTCAGTTGTACTAGCTACATTACTATAATATTGAAGGTTAAAACTGATTTGTAGACTATACACTTGTGCTAAAATTACACTTAATAAAGTTTTTAAAATAAAGTTACAATTATATAATAATATTTCTACTTCAATTCGTTTTTTTATAGGCTATAAACATTTAAATGGTGGCTGTCATAAAACTTGATGGATTTATTCAAACATAAATTAAACACTGAAGAGCAGTAACAATCATAATGAAAATGTTATATGATGCATATATTAAGCAACATGCCCCTCTCTACAGTTTATTTTTCTATCTGACTAATGTGTTCTTGGTCACCGAATATGTTTCTTACTCTGGTAAATGTGACGTTATGTGACATTGTTTACAAGCCGTTATATTGACGTCTTTGCGTGGCTGAAACACTGATCGAGCGATTACATGAGACAGGATACAGATTGTAAAGTTGTACTCTTTATTTTAACTTACCTTCGGAACTGAAGTGTTTGAGTTTTGGATGACCGATCGCTTATGTTTTTCTACAGGAGGAAAACGCGCAACAAGAGACTTTGCGCATTACGTTCATATTCTGCTGTTCTGTGGCGACGGATTTGCGGGTCTTTTCTTTTTCTTGCAGGACCCTGTAGGTTACGGTACTAAATTAGTTTTAATCATTTAATCACCACCACAGCGTCTTGTCTCCATTGGCAACACGCACGATTTGTGTCGATTGCAAGGGACGTCGCAGGTATCAGAGAGTGCAAGTGGCGATTGCAAGTGACTTCGTAATTTTATTTTTTCTTGTCTTCACCACCTGGCTATACTGTTGTAAAATGTTGAGAGATTCAAACAAAAAGTAATCAATAAATAGTAAAAAATAAAAAAGACTGCAAGTGACGTCGCTAGCGGAAGTGCAAGTGTCTGAGAGTGCAAGCGCCAAGTTGCAGCCAGACCCTTTTGAATACTTATGAATGGGAGAAAATGCAACGGCCAATATGGCGAATAAGCCCCGCCTACTAAATGTAAAAGCCAATCGTTGATTAGTAAAGTCATCGCATCACTGCACAGCTGCTGTTAGAAGCTCCGGTTCCTATAGAAACAGGCAGCATTCACAAACTCGCGCTCATGACTGCGCATGCGTATTGGCTGCTCTAGCCTGACAAATAAGCCCTTTTATCGCTATTTCAGCATAAGAAACAACAATTATGAGGCAGCTGTTGTAAGATTTCATTGGTGATTTCAAATATGAAATTTAATTGTAAGCTTGGTGAACAGTTTTGGAGAATTTGATGTTTCCTCATTCAAAGAGATGGGAGCTGCACTTGCATTCCCGGGAGGCATTTTAAAGATGGCCGTCGAGTGAAATGACTTGTTCTAAAGGCACAATATGTAATTTTTACAAACAAAGAGACAAAGGCGCAGTTTGATGACGCCGTTACTGAGTGTGGAATCATGGGAGTTGTAGTCTTCATCCCTACAGCCGAAGCAATCCGACGGGTCTCGGGCAGAAGTCATGTTCATGGATGAGCTAATGATTTATTAATGTAGTAGAATGAAGCAGGGTGAGGCTGAAAGCCGTCGAAGCGAAACAAGTTCGCTGAACGAGCGTGACACACGGCTTGAAAGCTGCGGAGCTTTAAATTTGCCACAGTCGACCGCTTCCTCTCCTTCTGGTCGTGCGTATGTGGGGGAAAAAATCAGCGCTGTTTTATCATAATAGATACATTTGAAAGTTCTGTTATAATGCTACTCTGTGCGGTCGTCACCGGTCTAACAAAACGCACAACATATTAAAGCATCTTTGGTGTTTCCATATGTTTTCTACAAAATAAAACCGGAAATCGAGGGGTTATGACATCATTGGCAGTTGACACAATGACACTATGGACACGGTCCGTGTCACTAGATAAAATTGCTTATTTCTCTGGATTTAAACATTCTTCGAAACATTTGGGATAATGTAAGACACAAGTCAGCAAAATATATAACACTGTTGTAGTGAATTTTGGATATTTTAATAAAAAAATCATACATATTGTGCCTTTAAAGGGATGTTAACTGTTTTTCAATACAAGTACGCAAAGTTCAGACTTGCATGCTTGGTAGTTTGGACTTTGCAAGTTCGACTTGAGAGTGTGAACTCTTGGGGACGGGAGGATGACAGTTCGGTAATTCTGCAAATGGAACAGCAGCATACTTGATAACGTCAGTCAGCTCGCCTTGGCTTCTCCTATAATCCTTACTATATGTTTATTTACAGTAAGACGAAATATGATATCAAAGGCACTGCCTCTTTTCTGTTTCATTTAAACATATTAATAGCCACAAACGTATGGTTCATGCAACGTATACACACATTACAATAAAAAAATGACATCAAACACCACTGCCTCTTTGTTTTATTCATTGTGTGTATCCTTAACAATAGAGCCCGACCGATATATCATTTTGCCGATATGAGCCTGTCGCCGATATATTTGTATCGTGCATATGCCGCCATTATTTTTTTTACATAACATATGATGTAGATAAAATGCTTGAAATGGTGTAATTACTTAGTTTGTCCAGCAGAGCACGCTCCATTGTTTGCTACTGGCGACCTGGATGAAATGCTTTGAAGCTTAAATCTATGGAAAACCATTGAAAATTTGAACGGCCATATCTCCATAACGGCGCAGCGAATTCGCATCAAATTCGGGGGATCCCTTCAGCTGGAGGAACCCTTTCGAACATGAATCGAGTGTACGTCTAGAGGCCCTCTTTTGAATGAGACCACCGCCCACGTCGATAGCCCCCGGGGTTCGGGAGTTACGGGTGGTTCAATTTGTGGTCCGGCGTTGACTGATCTAGCGATTCTGGGGGGCTACTGACACAAGGAGGGTGGCATTCGAGAGGGCTCCTCAAGTTGAAGGGATCCCCTGAATTTGGTGGAGATCCGCTGACGCGTTCGCGAGATAGTGACACCAGTCAACACTTTCACATTAGTAAGGAGGTCTCTTGTTCAGGCAGCAGCATTCAAGTGTTGTCTTATTCGACCGTAAGCACCCTGCGAAGTGGACTTCACATGAAATTCCGCCATGATTTCAGTTCCAAGGAAGGTACACGTTACATTCAAAGGGCATTAAAGTGCGCAAGATGTGAATTTATATTCTATTTATTTACAGAGGTATATTATGTCACACTTCACACTTCTAGTAAGTTTCATCTGTGTGTGAAGACAGTAGCGCAAATCTGTGAATGAATGTTCTGAAGTGAAATAAACTTCAACGGAATAAAGTTGAATGGAATTTGAATTGAATTAAAGATGATTAAACTTCAACTTTACTGTTCAGTGCACTGATACAGCATTCAAGCGTTGTCTTATTTGACCGTTAATGCCCCGGGAAGTGGACTTCACATGAAATTCCGCCATGATTCCAGTTCCAAGGGAACGTACACGTTACATTCAAAGGGCATTAAAGTGCGCAAGATGTGAATTTATATTCTATTTATTTACAGAGGTATATTATGTCACACTTCACACTTCTAGTAAGTTTCATCTGTGTGTGAAGACAGTAGCGCAAATCTGTGAATGAATGTTCTGAAGTGAAATAAACTTCAACGGAATAAAGTTGAATGGAATTTGAATTGAATTAAAGATGATTAAACTTCAACTTTACTGTTCAGTGCACTGATGTCAGACTCATTTTGGATAATAAAGTTTATTATTAAATTGTTAAATGCCCTGCCTCCATTACGTATCTCTGTCACGTCAAGTGTTTGATCACCACATTTGAGTGATCATTGCAAAAAATATGTGTTTATGTATATGTTCTGTTTATGTATATACTGTATTCTATATATAGTACCGGTCAAATGTTTGGACACACGAATGGGAAAGTGTCCAAACTTTTGACTGGTACTGTACTATAATATGGTTAAACGGATCGTAGTTGATCCGTGATCAGTATGGACCAAACCCCACGGTTCGGCACGCATGTGACCCGCAGATTAATTGCAAAATTTAACCATAACAGAGTATAAGTTTATAATTTGTTCATAATTAAGCAAGCGCCACTGTGCTCTTGGGAACCTTAAGTGCAGCAGAATTTTTTTTGTAACCTTGGCCAGATCTGTGCTTTGCCACAATTCTGTCTCTGAGCCCAGACGGCAGTTATTTTGACCTCATGATTCTCATTTGCTCTGACATGCACTGTGAGCTGTAAGGTCTTATATAGACAGGTGTGTGGCTTTCCTAATCAAGTCCAATCAGTATAATCAAACACAGCTGGACTCAAATGAAGGTGTAGAACCATCTCAAGGATGATCAGAAGAAATGGACAGCACCTGAGTTAAATATATGAGTGTCACAGCAAAGGGTCTGAATACTTAGGACCATGTGATATTTCAGTTTTTCTTTTTTAATAAATCTGCAAAAATGTCAACAATTCTGTGTTTTTCTGTCAATATGGGGTGCTGTGTATACATTAATGAGGGAAAAAAATTAACTTAAATGATTTTAGCAAATGGCTGCAATATAACAAAGAGTGAAAAATTTAAGGGGGTCTGAATACTTTCCGTAGCCACTGTACACATTATATTATGACAAAATACCCATCTCGACAATGATTTAGGTTAATATAGATGGAGCAGCAAATAATAAGGGACACTATTTTCAACAATATGTATGTTAGATAATTATGTAGTTGATCAAACATATTTTAATAGTTCTCCTTATAGAAACGTGATTTGTGTCTATAAAGTTTTAAAAATTATATTTTGAAGATCAATGTACCTCATTCATGAAAAGTTTCAGGGAGGTAAAATGTATAAAATTGCATCAAAAGGAACACAATTTTGAATAAAAATTGTCTTCACACTGTTACACCAGGGTTGACTTGTATGTACTTTCACATTTCTGTTTTTGTTTGGTTGTTTTTGAAGTTACTGACAAATGAACTGTTTTTGCTTTTATTTTAGAGTTTATTGAAGAAAGTGAGGAGAACGAAGAATTGAGTGAAGATGAGGAGAAAGATCATGTCAAAACTGGAGAAAAACCTTTGAGTTGCTCTCAAACCAAACATAAAGATTTAAAGAAAAGAGGAGCCAAAATATCTTGTGATCAGTGCGAGAAGAGTTTCACACAATCATTAAGCCTAAAGAAACACATGAACATCCACACTGGAGAGAAACCTTGTAAGTGTTCACACTGTGACAAGAGATTCAGTCAGTCAACACATCTGAAAACACACAAGGTAGACCACACTGGAGAGAAACCGTACACATGTGATAAGTGCGGGAAGAATTTTTCACGGAAAGGAATCCTTATGACACATATGAGAATTCATACAGGAGAAAAACTGTACACATGTAATCAATGTGGAAATAGTTTTGCATACTTAGCAAACCTTAACGAACACATGAACATCCAAACTGGAGAGAAACCTTATAAGAGTTCACACTGTGACAAGAGATTCAATCAGTCAACACATCTGAAAACACATGAGAGGATCCACACTGGAGAGAAACCGTACACATGTGATAAGTGCGGGAAGAATTTTTCACGGAAAGGAATCCTTATGACACATATGAGAATTCATACAGGAGAAAAACTGTACACATGTAATCAATGTGGAAATAGTTTTGCATACTTAGCAAACCTTAACGAACACATGAACATCCACACTGGAGAGAAACCTTATAAGTGTTCACACTGTGACAAGAGATTCAATCAGTCAACACATCTGAAAACACATGAGAGGATTCACACTGGAGAGAAACCTTATACGTGTTCACACTGTGACAAGAGATTCAGTCAGTCAACACATCTGAAAACACATGAGAGGATCCACACTGGAGAGAAACCGTACACATGTAATCAGTGCGGGAAGAATTTTTCACGGAAAGGAATCCTTATGACACATATGAGAATTCATACAGGAGAGAAACTGTACACATGTAATCAATGTGGAAAGAGTTTGAAATGCAAATATAGTCTTGAGCGTCACATGAGAGTTCATACTGGAGAGAAACCGTACACTTGTGATCAGTGCGGGAAGAATTTTGCACGGAAAGGAATCCTTATGACACATATGAGAATTCATGCAGGAGAGAAACTGTACACATGTATTCAATGTGGAAAGAGTTTGGTTAGCAAATATAGTCTTGAGCTTCACATGAGAGTTCATACTGGTGAGAAACTGCACACATGTAATCAATGTGGAAAGAGTTTGATTAGCAAATATAGTCTTGAGCTTCACATGAGAGTTCATACTGGAGAGAAACCGTACACTTGTGATCAGTGCGGGAAGAGTTTCAGACAATCATTACACCTTAAGAAACACATGAATATCCACACCGGAGAGAAACCGTACACATGTGATCAATGCAGCAAAACATTTTTGAGGGCTTCTGAACTGAAGACACACCTGAGAGTTCATACAAAGGAGAAGCCACATTCATGTTATTTGTGTGGAAAGAGTTTTACACGTTTTTCAACATTGAAAGAACATCAGAAAATACATACAGCTGTGAGAGAGTACGTGTGCTTTCAGTGTGAAAAGACTTTTACTTCAGTGAAGTGTTTAAAACAGCATGAGAGGATCCACACTGGAGAGAAACCGTACACATGTGATCAATGCAGCAAAACATTTTTGAGGGCTTCTGAACTGAAGACACACCTGAGAGTTCATACAAAGGAGAAGCCACATTCATGTTATTTGTGTGGAAAGAGTTTTACACGTTTTTCAACATTGAAAGAACATCAGAAAATACATACAGCTGTGAGAGAGTACGTGTGCTTTCAGTGTGAAAAGACTTTTACTTCAGTGAAGTGTTTAAAACAGCATGAGAGGATCCACACTGGAGAAAAACCTTATAAGTGTTCACACTGCAACAAGAGATTCAGTCATTCATCAAATCTGAAAAGACACGAGAGGATCCACACTGGAGAAAAACCTTATAAGTGTTCACACTGCAACAAGAGATTCAGTCATTCATCAAATCTGAAAAGACACGAGAGGATCCACACTGGAGAGAAACCGTATCACTGCACTGCATGTGGGAAGTGTTTCAATAATTCATCTGCTCTACACAGACATACAAAAAAACATTCACAGTAAGTATTCAAGATTCAGCTGAAATTCTGCTCAAATTAAAGATGGAGTTCCTCCCCAAATAACTGTAAAAACATTTTATTATTGTGCTTTCTTATTTTTCTTCACTGTTGTTTTGACTCTTCTGTGTTTCTCTTGTAAGAAGGGATGGGTACCAGAACACGGTATTTAATGGGCCCTTTTTTCATGAAAAAAATAATACCATTAAAGAACTGAACTGATGTGCAGTATCGTAAGAATTGTAATACCGTTAAAATCTTAACGATACCCAGGGCTCGAATTGAGGGGGAATGCGGGGGATGGCATTCCCCTGATCATCCCCTTTAGATTAATAATGTGTATTATGTAAAACTTATCATGCAAATGAAATGTTAAAATACTAATTTAGAAAACTAAATAACGGCAATTGGCCAATCAAAACTTGGTACTGTATGAAGCTGCGCACAGCTGAAGCAAGTTTTCGTCATTTTTCCCACAAAAGGATTCAAGCGCAACTTTTGAATTAAAAAAAAAGAAGACAACAGATGGTATGGCTTTTCCTCGATTAGAATTTAAAGACATTCCCCTGACATAATGTTATTGTACTGTATGTCTGACTGTGAGGGACTGAGAGACGATACGAGAGCTGACATTATCAAGTATGTCACCGACTTTGAACAAGACGGATTTTTGTTTGTTTGTTGCAAAGTCCAAATGCATTCACTGCACGATTAAGTCTATTAGAATGCAGTTAGAATGCCCTTATAATTCAAGCAATGAAATAAAAAATTCCCATGTATGAGTTTTTGTTTTTATATTCATTGCACAAGGAATGTACTTTTCTGAATATCTATTTTATTTTATGTTTTACAGTGCATAGGAACATGGTGTTTCATTCCTTGAATAAATCAGTTTTTGAACAAATCTGTTTTTTTCTGTTTATTTATTTATTAAGCACAATTAAAACAATGTAACATTGACCAATGTGCTGTACACTCTCTAAATAAAAATGACAGTATTAACTTTCAGACAAACAATGACCAACAACAGCAAATGTTATAAAAAAAGCCTCTTGCTAATTAGTCTGCAGAACCAAACGCTAATTCAAGTAAATGCACTTTCAATTTTCGTTTAAAATAACCTAATGACGGAGCCAGTCTGAGATGTAGAGGTAGCTTATTCCAGCGCTTCGGAGCTGCTACAGCAAATGCCTGTTCACCACTCAATTTTAATCTAGTCCTTGGAATGTCTAGGATAATTTGATTTGCTGATCTCAGAGACCTGGGTGGTTTGTATATACGATCAATTCAATTGATCAATCTATACTGAGATTATACTGAATCTATACTGAAAATCTATACTATCAACAAATCAATTCTATACTGCACTGGCAACCACTGAAGTGACATAAAAAACAGCTTGTAACACCGATTTAAGTGAGTACCTGTTAAAAGCCTAGCAGCCGCATTTTTAAACCAATTGAAGACGATTTAACAATACTTGGCTCATACCCACATTCAGTGAGTTACAGTATTCCAGTCTTACAAAAATAAAAGCATGAATAATCCTTTCAAAATCACTAGAGGGCAGAAACTGTTTAACCTTTGCTATTGATCTTACATAGACGAAACAAGAGTTGATCTGTTTATCAAATTTCAAAGAATTATCAAATTGGACACCAAGGTTCTTCACCACAGATTTACAGAAGGGAGCTAAATTGCCCAAGTCAAAAGAGTATTGGGCGTCAGGAGCCCCGAACCAGATTATTTCAGTTTTGCTTTAATTCAAATTCAGATAATTTTGTGACATCCAAGATTTAACTTAATTTTAAACAACTCAAAAGTGACTCAAATGAGCTTTTATCCTGTTTCTGCAAAGGTAGATATACTTGAGTGGCATCTGCGTAACAATGAAAAGATACTCCATGCTTATGAAATATAGAACCTAAGGGTAAGATATATAATGAAAACAAGACTGGGCCGAGAATGGATCCTTGTGGAACTCCACTAGACAATGGGGCCATTTTAGAGTAATGTTGACCAAAATGGACTTAAAACGTCCTATTAGAAAGAAAGAATATGAACCACTCAAGTGTCATACCCCGAATTCCCACTATCTTTTCTAGATGAGAGACAAGAATATTGTGATCAATGGTATCAAATGCTTCACTGAGATCTAGTAAAACTAAAACCACTGAGCTGCCTGAATCAATTGAAATAAAATAAATAGAATCGAGAATCAAAATCGAGTGAACCAGTGATTCAATGGTCCATTCAGATGGACTCACTTGTTTAGTTTCTAATTGAATCAGCCGTTTTGAACAAATTGTTTGATTTGAATGTTTCAATAAATAATTCATTAACACATATTCCTTGGTCGTTAACAGTAGTGAATTAAGTGTTAATGAATAAACTACCTGTTAGTTCTTCAATAATTCATTATTAGTTATGCAGTAAGTAAGAAACCATATTCTAAAGAGCTACCTTTTTTGTTTGTTTGTTTTTCCAGACTACATCCAAAATAGTGTTTCCACATCTGAGATAAAGGCAGTCATAAGAACCCAGTGGAACGATGAGGATAAGCTCTTCAAAAAATTAAACCTGCCTGAATAATGAGGGAAGAAATGTGCATGATTTGTAAATAAACACTGAGTACATTTAGTGTAACTCTCAGCCTGTTATTTTAAGTTTAAATAAAAGTAAAATTATTTTTGGTTGCATTGCTGTTTGAGACATTCACTGTTGTTTTGTACCTTAATTTATTATATTGCAGATGTGTGCAAATAAAACTTGTTATTCTGAATATTCTGGTTGCATTTCAGTGTTACTGTACAGCATTTTATTAGTATTGCACTTCGGTTGTATTGAATTGTACTTCAGTTGTATTATATATTGCAGTACTACTGCAGTTTTATTGCAGTATAATTGTAGTACTACTTCAGCTGTATTGCAGTAAAACTGCGGTTCTATTGCAGTTGTTTGTTAGTAATACTACAGCTCTACTGCAGTTGTATTTCAATAGTACTTCAGATATATTGCAGTAACACGGCAGTAATGCAGGTTTTTCGTGTACAAAAAACTGCATTTTTCTACAAGTAACAAAAACTGCAATAATACTTTTTTAAAAACTGCAGTAATTTTTTGTAAGGGGCTCTTTAACAAAATTGGTCCTTCGATCTGCTGCAGAAGAGTCATGGAGAGGTGGCACAACAGATGCTGCCAGAATTTCTCCTTCCCCATCTGACAGAGTTTCCAGTCCTGTGAGTCAGTATTCATGGCACGTGGTCAATGAGTGGTCCCCGGCTGCCTTTGACGGAGAGCATTTCTATGAAAGACAGCAGGTGAGAGTACCTTCACTGTCTAGAGCTGCCTTGCCCTCTACTCAACCTGCTCAGTTTTCACCATTTCACCCGCCTTGGGAGTTTCAATCATCTCCACAAACTGTCGTTAACACCTCAGGCAAGCCTTCTCAACCTCTGGTGCGCTCTGAGTCTCTTCCAATGCCACTTCCTCACTCATCTACCACCAGGCAGTCATTGCAGTTGACCAGGTGGATTTCTTGGGTAAGATGCTCAGTGAGCTTCAATTGATGAGAGACCACATACAGACGGAACTGCCAGGCAAATGGGAAGTCACCCTGTCAGTTCAGCCTCTTAATTACCCTGATTCCATTCCTGCTAACTATCCAGATGAATCTGTCTGACCAACTTCCTGCAGATTAGCTCTGCCACCTACTGACTACAGTAACTATACCCATGATTCAAGCTGGTATCCAGAGCAGACATTTAAGCCTGTTAGAGCTGTCCACCGGCCTCACCCTCATAAAAGCTACAAGTCAAGGAGACCTGGGTATCTGACACCTACGCACAGAGCTTCTACCTGGCATTCAGATGAGAGAGAGAGAGCACCTATCGCGGTCCTACCCGACCAGTCCAGACTCACAGGGGACCCTTGTGAGTTCACTAGACTAAAGATTGCTCTTGAGAACCTTTTACCTCCTGATGCTACTGAGCTCTTCCGCTATCAGATATTGATGGATCATCTGAGGTTAGATGAAGCCCATCTAGTAGCCGACTCCTATCTTAACTCAACTTTCCCTTATAGTGATACCATGACAGCTCTGATTGAGAGATTTGGCCAATCTTACAAACTAGCCCTCTGAAGGATAACTAAAGTGATATATGCTCCCGACATTCTTTGACAAGCCTTTGACAAGCTCACATAACACTTTATTTCGATAGTCCACTTTAGACATTCTATTAACAGTAAGTAACTTTGCAACTACATGTCAACTAGCAGTTAGTAGAGTATTAGTAGACTATCTGCTTAATATCTTCTAACACTTTCTGCCAACTTATTCTACTAACCCTAAACCTACCCTAACAGTCTACTCTGAGAGTTAGTAGACATGTAGTTGCAAATTAATGAGAATTAGTTGACATGTAGTTGACATGTAGTTACTAAGTTACTTATAGTTAGTAGAATGTCTAAAGTGGACTATCGAAATAAAGTGTAACCAGTTCGCTTGGCAAATTAGATCCCTTGTCGGTATGCTGCAGACTCTGGGCCATGAAGGTCAGGCTGAATTGAGGTGCGGTTCGCATGTGTAGAGGCTGCTAAGCAAACGGACCGAGGGAGAGCATTCAGCTACCATACTTCATGGATCAGATGAGGGCCCTGCCAAACCACCACCTGGACCAGCTCCTATTTCTCTAAGTAGTTCAGGTCACCTAACCAGGTCCTCAAAGCACAAGCCAAAGCTTTCTGTCCATAATGTGACAAAACCGACCATTACCTCAGTCAATGCCATACCTTCAAGTCCTTTAATAAACAGCAGATCACAGATCTTGGAATCCATGGTCCAGAGGAAAAGCCCTGCGTACTATCCGCCAGGATGTACAAACTTTGACTGGAGCCGCAGTCTTCTTCCAGATATATCCAGTAACTCAGCCACAGAAGGTATTCAGAATCTCAGCTTCCTTCACTGCCCAACACCTCTGCCTTGCAGACTGTTCTTACCCTCAGAGTATCCCGGAGAAGTATCAGCACCTGAAGAACTTTCCCCTGCAGTTCTTTGAGGGAGTACACCCACTGCTGCTAATCGGAGCTGACAATACTCACCTCATTACTCCCATATCACCTGTTCATCTAGGCCCCTCTGGAGGACCTGCAGCTATTCAGACAAGGTTCAGGTGGACATTGCAGGGACCTGTAAGACTCTTGAAAGATCAGCTAACAGCTCAACATTGCCTCTTCTTGTCCCTCAGCCCTGCTGAACTACAGTTGAGGAGGAATGTCGAAAGGCTCTGGCAGATCGATGTCTTGTCGTACCGATGTGAGAAGAAAGCTACCCGATCTAAGGAGGATCGAGAGGCTATCAGTCTCTTGGAGGCCAAGATTACATGGGTTGATGTCAATGGAATATTTGGCTATGCAACACCTTTATTGCACTGGAAGGATTTCCCCCTCTTTTGTGCTCCAAAGGAAGCAGTCATGCCTAGTCTCAGAGGCATGGAGCATCAGCTCGCTCGGTCACCAGAGAAGGCAGAGGTGTATAAATATGAAATAAAGAAGCTGGAGTTGACTGGTGCTGCCATCAAACTGCTAAATGAGGGACAGGGAGCCACAGGAGAGAACTGGTATTTTCCACACAATATGATCACTCACAATGGTAAAAATTGCCTAGTGTTTAACTATTCCTTCGAATATGAGGGGCTGAATCTTAATGACTCCTTGCTACCTGGTCCAGTTCTAAGCCCCTCTCTCCATGGTCTCCTCCTGCGGTTCAGGGAGCATTGTGTAGCCATAAGTGGGGATATATGTGAGATGTTTTCATCAGGTCCTGCTACTGCCTGAATACTGACCACTTCTACGTTTCCTATAGCATGACCTGCGATGAGATGACCCTCCAGATAATTATGAATGGCAAGTCCTCCCCTTCGGGACTACGTGCAGCCCCTGCTGTGCCACCTTCACCCTCCAGCGGCACGTGGCTCTGCACAGTTTCTCAGTGGATAAATGCTTCTGCATGGACAACTGTCTACAAAGTTTACCCTCTGTACAAAAAGCATGTCAGTTAGTGGATAAGTTATGCACCCTCTTATCCTTTGGTGGTTTCAACATCCGACAATGGGCCAGTAATATCATATAAGTTGTTTTTCCCCAAGATAAAGCCGACCCATGAGAGTCAACCTTGGGTCTGAGCTGGCACTGCGAGTCTGACCAGCTAGGGTTCAAACATAGACCTGTCACATATATTGCCTTGATGATGAGGAGCATCTGCTGGGTGCTGGCAAGTCAGTATGTCCCTCTTGGGGTCATCCTTCCATATACGACCAGAGCCAAGGTGATCGTGCAACAGCTTTCTTTTAGCCCGATCCAGAGTGGCCCCGCGAAAGCAACAGTCAATACCGAAATTTGAGCTCTGCGCCCCTTTTTAGGTGTACATTTGGCAAAGTATCTTGCAAATGAGCTCACTCTGAATTCGGACAAGATCACCTACTGAACTAACCCCACTGTTGTGCTCCACTGGCTCCATTCCGAATCCTGCTGATACAACTATCCGCCAGGATGTACAAACTTTGACTGGAGCCGCAGTCTTCTTCCAGATATCTCCAGTAACCCAGCCACAGAAGGTATTCAGAATCTCAGCTTCCTTCACTGCCCAACGCCTCTGCCTTGCAGACCATTCTTACCCTCTGAGTATTCTGGATAAGTATCAGCACCTGAAGAACTTTCCCCTGCAGTCCTTTGAGGGAGTACGCCCACTGCTGCTAATCGGAGCTGACAATACTCACCTCATTACTCCCATATCACCTGTTCATCTAGGCCCCTCTGGAGGACCTGCAGCTATTCAGACAAGGTTCAGGTGGACATTGCAGGGACCTGTAAGACTCTTGAAAGATCAGCTAACAGCTCAACATTGCCTCTTCTTGTCCCTCAGCCCTGCTGAACTACAGTTGAGGAGGGATGTCGAAAGGCTCTGGCAGATAGATGTCTTGCCGTACCGATGTGAGAAAAAAAGCTACCCAATCTAAGGAGGATCGATAGGCTATCAGTCTCTTGGAGGCCAAGATTACATGGGTTGATGTCAATGGAATATTTGGCTATGCAACACCTTTATTGCACTGGAAGGATTTTTTGTGCTCTTGTGCTCCAAAGGAAGCAGTCATGCCTAGTCTCAGAGGCATGGAGCATCAGCTCGCTCGGTCACCAGAGGGTGTATAAA